GAGGAGGAGGAGGAGTACCTTCGGCGCAAGGTTGTGCAGCTTCACGACTCCTTCGTTCACCTTGCATGTCCTCTCAGCACCGACACGTGCATGGCGTCCAAGGCAGCTCACCGTCGTAGCATGAAGCTGCTTCTGAAGAAACCCTTCCGGCCTGCCCCAGCGTGTCTTGTCTGCGGAGTCGTGAGGAGAGGAGGAGGGAAGGAGAGGAGCAGGGGAGCAGAGGAGCAGAGGAAGAGGGGACGACCATGGTAGGAGAGGAGGAGTGGAAGGAGGAGGAGGTGGTGGAGGTAACCATGGTGGGATGGAGGAGGAGGAGAGTCGTCGCCAGCACTCTCTCCCTCCTCTTCCCCAACAAAATCGTCCGCAGCGCTCTGGCTGCAGGGGAACTCTGCAAACACGCAGAGGATGCTCCTTGGGCCGTGGTGGAGGAGCGAGGAGTCGTACTGGATGCTTCCTAGCTCCCGCCTCTGACAGCCCGGGAGGTTGAGGAGGAGGCGGCTGTTGTTGATCCCGTTGTCGAAGAGGGTGAACTGAGAAGAAGGTGAGAGGAGGTGAGGAGGAGAGGAGGAGGACGCACTGACTAGAACACAGAAGCAAGTGGTTGAGGAAGAGGACAGCTGGGGTTTCGGGGAAGGAGACAGCAGTTGAGAGGAACTGGAGGACGCGAGGTGGACGAGGGGGGAGGGGAGGTATTGGGGGATGTGGAATAGTAAAAGGAGCAAGGAGGGTGTTGGAGGGGGAGAAGAGGATGAGGAGGAGGAGCGGGAAGGGGGAGGGAGAAAGGAGGAAGAAAAAAGGAGAAGGAAGAAAAGGAGGAGGAGCGAAATTCCTTCTCACGTGAGTCTCGAAGGTGTTGGAGTGGAGGACAGCTACGACATGATCGCTGTGGATGCCCCGGGGAGTCTGGGAGAGGTTCTCGTCCGTGGTGACGACGATGCTGGCAGCAACTTGAGGTCAGGGGCAGCGGGAGGAGAGGACAAGAACGGTGATATGCTCTCACTCCCCAGTCTTGAGATCTCGAGCAGCTGACAGCTGAAACTCCATAGTGTGCTCCTCGTAGAGCTTGTACACAGCCCAGCTCTTCTCTGGGCTCTTGGTCCTCCGAATGACGCACATCTTGTACGCGGGCAGGGGATGGTAGTACCTTTCCACCCGCTTCCTCCTGCTCACCACCAGCTCCCTGAACTTCGCATGCTCGTCAAACCCTCTTGCTTCCCCCCCTCAACCAGCAGGAGCTTACAGAGTCGTGCGGGAGGTTTCTCAGCTGCGCCAGCAGCTCCTGGTGCGCCGACGAGTCCACCAGCATCCCCTGCACCACGTTTGCGGCCGTGCTGAGGTAGTCCAGCAGAACTCAAGGCAGACCCTCTGCAGCTCGACGGAGTGGTACTCTCGAGCATGGTGCATCGCTCGCAGAATGTTCGCCGCGCCCAGGCAGCTGGCGATCTCCTGGGCTGCCTGCTGGGAGAGATCTGGGATGATGAGTAGCCGAGAGGCTACGAACACCTGGAAGCTGTCGAAGTCTCCTGTCAGCAGCTGTTTCGCCTCTAGGTAGTCCAGGGCCGCCGCCATCGCATCAGCGTTGGTACAGCCGTCCCTGATGGAGATCTGGAGCTGGTTGGCGGAGGAGAAGTCACCAGCCATGAGCTTGCGGAAGAAGCCTGAGCGGATCAGGTCTCTCCTCCGGTAGCTCCTCTCGTGCCTGAACAGGTTCAAGCACTCCCATACCGCCTCCCCATCGGTCTCCTCCTGCCCCTCCTCCTCTTTGGCCTTCCCCATGCTCATGGCCAGAACCGCCCTCGCTCGCCCCGCGAGAGATTGCTCGGCATGGCTGGCAGGGCGTCGCTGGCTGACTGTCTGTGCTTCACCCCTTGGCCTTGCAACGCGATCTACTAGGATCACTCTCACGTACTCTCCCTCCCTCCCCTCCTCCTCTTCTCCCTTCGCTTCCCCCTCCACTTCCACCTTCTCCCACCTCACCCCATCCTTGTCCTTGTCCTCTTCCTGCTCCCTCTCTTCCGTTCCTCTGTCTTCCCTCCCCTCCTCGTCTAGGGGAGCGACCTCCTCCACATGCACGCTCAGCCGATCCTTCATCCTGCTTCATGGGGCATCAGGTCGAAGAGCTGAAGGCGGCATGGCGCGACTCGAGGACGAGCCGGGAGGACAGAGGTGAAGGTGGTGAAGGGCAGGGACAGGAGAGGAGGGAGGATATGGGAGAGGGAGGGAGGGAGGGAGGGAGGGAGGGAGGGAGGGAAGGTGGCGGGGAGGGGGGGGGGGGGGGGAGGAGGGTGGTAGGTAAGGTTAAAGGTAAAAGTGGAAGTATGGAACAAAGAAGCAGGAGAGGAGAGCAGCGGAGAAGAGGAGGAGGAGGGGGGGGGGGGGGGGGGGGGACGAACGGAGACAACGGGGGGAGAGGAGAGGAGGAGAGAAGAAGAGAGGATAAGAGAGGTGGGTGAGGAGGACATTAAAAGGATCACAACCTTTAATTGAATTATGATACATGACCGAAACTCATGGTGAGACTCGGTGAGCTAGCAGAGGAAGGCCACAGACTCTCTCCCAGGACGAGAGCTCTGCTGTGGGAGAGTGAGTGAGGGAGCGAGGAGGGGATGGGTGGAGGTGAGACGAGAGGGACAGAAGGAGAGACGAAGGCGAAGCAAGGGGAGGAGAGTGGAGAGAGGTGAGCTAGAGGGAGGAGGGGAGAGGAGAGGTGGCAACTAGATGGTTCGGGAAGGTCCAGGGAGGGGAGGGGATGAGAGAAGGTCTGCGGACGGGAGGCTGTTCACCTCGTTTTGCTCCTTCCAGACAGCAGGAGATGGCTGAAACCTGCCAGCAGGGTCAGTAGCTCGAGCGCTATGGTGGGGATCTAGGGTACCCCGAGCAGAGGAGGATGGAGGCAGCTTCTGCGTTCCCAGCCGTAGCATACTTGACTAGCAGATCCTTGGCCTTGGCTCGAACCTTGAATGAAGCAGCGTAAAAATTCCTCTCCTTCTCTTTCTCCTTCTCCTGCTCCTGCCTCGCTTCCGTTTCTTCTCCCCCAAGCTTTTGTCCCTGCCCTCCCTCCCTCTCTCCTCCTCTCCCCCCCTTACATAGCGATCAGGGTCGCTCAGCCTGTTCATCAGAGCCTTCGGCGTCCCTTCTTGCGTCCAGTCCACCTGCAGCAATCATGAGAACAGATCCTCGTTGACTACTCCCTTTCTCCCTCCCCCCGTACACCCTTCTCCGTCCTCCGTCCTCCATCCTCCATCATCAGTCCCCTTTCCCTCCTCATCCTCCTGTCTTCTCCCCCCCCCCGCCGCCCTGCTTTCCCTCCCTTTTGCTCTTACTCCCGTCACCTGAATCAGCGCCTTGATGGCATGCAGGCGGACATCAGCCTCCTTGTCGTCCAGAGAGCTCTGGATCCCTGCCTGGCGTCTCAGGAGGCGCTTGCACAACAGGAGGAGATAGGAGGAGAGTCAGAAGAGGAGGGAGGGAGGAAAGAGGGCGAGGAACGAAGGGGACAAAGAGGAGGGAGGGACGAAAGGAGGAAGGAAGGACGAGGGCACTCGTCACCCGCGTACGCTTCCAAGTGCCCTTGGTTGGCTGCTGGGATAAGCGCGTCGATCGTAGCCTTTCGGATCTCAACGTGATTGTCGTTGAGGGAGAGGAGAAGTTCGGCAACCAGGACCTGCAAAACATGCATCATTACATCATCATCATCATCGTCCTTATCTTCATCATCATCACTTTAGCATGATTATCATCTCCTTCATGTCTATCACCAACCTTGTCCTGTGCATTGACGAGCGAGGCAATCGCCTCGATGGCGTTGCGGCGGGAGATGAGGTTGGGAGTGTGGAGCTGGGAGAGGAGGTGGAGCCGAAGTCTGCTCTTGTCGATGTTCTGAGGAATGAGGAGGAAAGGAGGAAGGGGGCAGGAAAGAGGAGGAAGAGGAGGAAGAGACGGTATCAGAATCATTGACAACAACCAACAAAATGTTACCTCTCTATCCTGCAAGCTCCCGGCATTCATTCCGGTCACAGGGTTGAACTTGACGCTCGAAGCACCTGAGCTTTGTAAGAAGGGAGAGGACGGGGGAGAATCTGGCTTGTAACTACCAGGTGGGGAAGGGGGAGGAGGAGAGGAGAGGAGACTGGACTTCTTGAGAGCTGAAGCCCAATCATTCTTGGGAAGCCTCTGGCCAACCGTCTGAGGAGGAAGCGAGAACCCCGCGCTCCATCTGCTGTCTCCTTGCGGGCTGAAACTTTGTCCCTCTTCCTTGGTAACCGCAGGGATGGTCTGAGACCGCATGTGCTTTGAAGTTTTCCATGCTGCCAGAGTTCTCCTGCTCAGCACGTTACTTCTTGCTCCTTCACGGCCTCCACACCTTGAAATTCATTCAATCTTTCCTCCCTCCCTCCCTCCCTCCCTCCCTCCCTCCCTCCCTCCCTCCTCCCTCCTCCGTTGTCACATGTTGTAGGTGGCAGCTTTGTCTGTCTCAGCCTTGGCAGCTTGGCCTGCGATCTACGAGCAGGTCATTGTGGGGAAACAAGATAGAGAAAGAGACGAGAGAGGAGCTACAGACAACGAAGAAAAGACAGTAGAGCAAAACTGAGACAGAGAGGAGTGATTGAGGGAAAGAAAGAGGAGGCATCGAGCCCTACCGTCCTGGGAGTCTCTTTTACCAACGTCTTAGAACTTTTCCGAGTCGAAACTTGATCTGAAAACCAATCAGTCTGCCTCACTTGAGCGTAATTGTTGACCTCGCTGAGATGTTTCTGTCGAAACATCTTCAACCGTCTCTATTTCGTGCTCATCGTTCTCTGCACCAAACGTTCAGTAGCGAGCAGACGAGGATCGCAGGAGTAGAGGAGAGGTAGGGGATCATTCGCATATTTACCTTCAGGTTGGAATGGTGTCGAACCGTTCATGGCTGGCTCTTGACTCTTGAGGAGCTGAGGCCATGCCGGTCAGAGCATTCATAGCTCATGTGCTCGGCTTTACCTGCTTCACCTGCCTCCTCTCCCCATCCACTGACGCATCTCCTCGACCTGCCGCGATGCCCTCCTGGCAAGTGTCAACACAATAGCTCCCGTCGATCATTAGACAACCTTGTTCATGTGCGTGGACCTCTGCATGTCAGGCATTCTGCAGAGAGTTTGAGCTCTATGTAACCAAATAATGGTGTCACTCACTCGGGCTTGTGCGGCTGGCTGGGCGTTGAAGGCAGACCGAACCATTCGTTGCCGTGAGCGACAGAGACATTTGCGTCTTCGAGCTCAACGTTACAAACATCCCCTGACCACGCACAAGTTGCCGTACCAGATTCTTGCTCTTGCTCGCGTGGTGCTTGTGCCTCGACGGGTTTAGCCGCCGCAAGACGAACAAATTCCTGACTGCGGCCGAGCTGTTTGACTTCAGCGAACTGCAGATAGACAAGCAGTCAGAACTACTGAAGCCGAATACAAACAATTCCTGACGTTGTTAGTTTTCCCGCTGTGAGTGATTGAATTATCCAAGGAGGACGAAGAAACGTTGCCAGGGGATTGACTCTGATAATGAATGTAAGACAGAAGGAGTTTAGTGAATCAGGTGCGCTACCACGCAAGCGTTCATGACCAGGTGCTCCAAGTAGACCTTCGAAGAATGGAACGAGGAGAGAAGCAATGTAGACAAGGTACAAAGATGATAAGGGAGGACGGGGAAGAGCAGAGAGTCAAGCCATGCCTCAACGAATATCCTCCTCTTCACCTGACTTTGCCTGGCATTCACAGCGTTCCTGTGCCGCAACGCCTCCTGCCTCTCTAGTTCCTGAGAGTTGTCGTTCACCTTACTTGCTTTCACGCATCTCATTCAGCACCTTCTGCTTGGCCTCCGCCACCATCTTCTGGTTTGCCAACGTCAGCAGCTGTGTTGGGGAGAGCTCGATGCTGGTATGCGCTGGTTTCGAAGCAATGGGAGAAGTCTCAAACTTCAACAGCTGCCAGTCTACGGACCCCATCTCTCGCTGCTCGGCGTCCTGGCAAGACAGTGAGCAATCGGAGAGCATGGCAAGGACAGGGACGCTTCGTACCGATGTAAATGACATCTCAGAGCTCGGACGTAGAGGGGGGGCTGAGGAAGCTTGTCAAGTAAGCTCAAAACTCCTCTTCACTTCACTTCGGCTGCCGTCGATACAGGACGCGTCCACGGTCCTTCAAACGGAGAAGAGACGTCAAGGCTTCATCCTCATGAATGATGGGGGACCTGAGGTGCTCCAGCTCCAACAGGAACCTCCGAGCTTCTATCGGCCGCATACCAAGAGAGTTGACATCCTGTACGCGAGATGAGAAGGGCCGGGTGGCAAGGGTAAGGCAAAGGTGCTTCCGACCTCCTCGGTGATGAGCAAGAGGTCAGAGATCAGGCCAACCCCCAGCTTCCTGTTCATGGCGCCAAGATACCTTGAAGAGCATCTCAGCTTCTTTTCATCAGTTTCAAACTTCAGAATCTACCTGTCAAGTTTTAACTTCCTGAGGTATTCTTTCAGCTTGTTGATTCGGGGAGTGTTGAAGTTTGCGCCGTAAGTTGAAACCCTGTTCAACAGAGCCGTCATGATATCACCATCACCATCTTTATCTTTACGTCTGTGGAGGTCTTTCCTTTCTGACCGTAGAAGCGAAATCAACTTGCTTCACTTGCCCGCTGCCTTCAGCAGCAGTTGGTCTGGTAGATCCTACCGGCAGCTTCCTAGGATGGAAGACCGGCTTGTATTCAGACTGAGTTACACCTCCTCCCTTGGACGGTGGAGAAACATCGTCTTTGTTGGGAGATGTCCCGGTTTTCTTTTCCCAAAACCTCTTGTATGCGCCAAAGCTTCGGATGCTTGGCTTGGAGCTACCGGCTGCATCTGATGAAGCGCCATAGCCCTGTAGAGGAAGCAACAAATCAATGTGACGTGTTGTAAGAGTTGAACTACTCGACTCATGCAGCAACGTCGTCCTGCAAGAGGGAATTCCCGCTTGCGGCCGATCGATTCGACTTTCTAATCCTGGCCATGTTCCATCCAATCATCTTTGATACTAGATACAATCATCGTCCTCAACTCCTACTCCACCCTCTACCTTCTACTCTCCTCCTCCTCCTCCTCCCCCTACCCCTCCTCCTTCTCTTCCTTGCCTTCTCTCTTACCTCTTTCGCCGCCATCATTTCGCCACTCCCGAAAGGAAAAAAAGTCAAACCACTCATTTTGAATTTTCCAATTCTGTTCAAAATATAAACACATAGTTGAAAATTTATCCAGAAGTTTCACATTTTCTTGGATAATTTCGATTCTGAACCATGACCCTCTTTCCGAAGTGCAACTACCCTACCCTTGGCACAACTAATAAGCTTCTCAGTACTAGTAGGCGCCCCGTCCCCGGCGGCCCGTGGCCCGCCGCTGCTCCCCAGCAAGGTTCCTCCGGCTGAGCCGGTCAAGTCCAGCATGTCACGGAGTCAGCAGCCTGTGAGACCGACCGACAGTCTTGAGGGTCTTTGGTTTATCCGAGTTTATCAACACAAACAATACTACATCATCGCTTCACATGGTTGAGACTCCGTTTCACCCCTGCAAGCCGGACAAACAGTAAAAAGAATAAGTTTCCCTCCTCCTACCCTCCCTCACGTCATCTGATGCCGCTGCTTCATCAGCCTCAGCTGTTTCAGCCGTTCCTGCCAGTTGGACGAGTACTGCTCGTCCCCGTTAGAGGCGATCATAGCCGCAATGTCCGCATCTATCAGCAGCCGGCGGACGATCATGGGAAGAGACTCTTCGGGTACTAGGAAGGAGTCAAGCCCGGGGCCGATGAGAGGGACCGAGGGCGCTCGCAGGACAGACACGCGGAAGAAGCCGTCGGCAAGGGGGACGAGGAGGACGACGACGAGGTTGAACTGGCCGGACAGTGAGTCCAGGGAGAATCCGTAGTCCGAGTCAGTGTACACGACCTTGACGTGCGAGTTGCCGATGAACCTCTTCTTGTTCACCTGCTCTGCCCCCGCCTCGTTGGGCATCAGGGTACCCACGAAGAAGACGCACTGGACCAGACTGTTCCGCCAGAACAGCGCGATCTCCCCGTCTCGCTTCTGCATGCTCCGGTCCAGCCCCCCCGTGAACACGTCATCATTGCAGTCCACCAGAGACGCATAGTGACCCAGGCCGCGCAGGAAGGCTTCGTACCTCGCGCTCCCTCCCGTGTTTGCCAGGAACTCGGCCTCTGTCCGCTGGCCATGGGCGATGTAAATGACGCCGAACTTGTGGGTCAGGGTGACTGGGGTGTTATCGAGGAGGCGGATGGCCCGGTTGAGAGCGTCACTCTGCTTCAGCTCGCAGGGAGTCAGGGAGCTGTCCTTGATCCCTTCCCCCAACGGTCCTCTCCTCCACTCCATGAGGATCAGGTCCGGCTCTGGAGCTTCGCAGTCAGCCGCTGGAACAGGTGCCGCTGGCAGAGCGGAGCTTGAGGACGAACCCTTCCTCTGCCCTCCAGGGCTGACTTGGCATTCCTGGGACTGGCTCTTGCTCCTCTTATCGGCAGCCGAGAGCTGCGGAGTAGCTGAAGACAGGATTTCACTTCCATTCCTGGACTCAGCAGCCTCAACCTCCTCGCTCCTCCCCGTCAGCCCCTCCTCTTCCTCTGCTTCAGCCTGAGGCACTTCGATGTGCGAGACGTCCCGGATAGTCAGGGTAGCAGAGATCAGGTGGAGGAGCCCGTCGATGGCGACCACGGGATTGCAGTGGGAGCTCCCCATCCCACTCCCTCCCACAGCTGCGAAGAAGACCCAGCGACGCATGTCCGTTGCCCTTCTCGTCTTGAGGTCGATGAGGCCTAGGGGAGTGGACCGGATGGTGAAGCATGTGTCTCTCAGCACGTAGGTCTTCTTCTTCACGCCCTCCCTGTCGAACAGGGCCTCCGTGTTGTCGTTGTAGGGCAGGCCGACGCTCCGCATGCTCGAGTCGTCGTTGAGCAGGAAAAAGTCCAGCATGATCGCACTCATCGAGTCTTCCTTGTGCGCGCTGTCCAGCAGCATCGGCTGTGCGACCGATCGGATGAACTCCGCTCGCAGCATGACAGGAGTATGGATCCACCAGAGCGAGAGCGCGCGGCCAGCCAGGTTGGCTATCAGACCTCCCCAACGGTTCTTGTTGATGAAGACGATCATGACATCGAGGCCCTGCCTGAACATGTTATGAGGCATCGGGGTTGTCATGCCGGGAATCTTGACAGCGACGAACTTCATGTACTCCAGGCAGTGGATGATGAGAGTGGTCTCGTTGGGCCGGTCGGCGAGCAACTTTGCCATTGTCAGCATGGCCGGCAGGTGCTCGAGGATGAGATCGGGGTATATGACGCAGAAGATGGAGAGGTAGTCCAAACACGTCAGAGTCACCTCCCCGTTGCATTTGATGCGCTGAAAGAATTCGCCAGGGTCGGGAGGCTGCGATGCGGCAGGGCTGGGATTCTATCAAGGAGGACGCATGTCAAACCATCGAGAGCAACCAAAAAAAATCATTCGTCACCTGAGAGTCATTCAGATTCCTTCCAGGCTGTGAGTTGTGCGCGGAATATAAGCCATAGGTCAGAGCATGTATTCCACTCCGAACATGTTTGGTTGCGAGTTGATTGTTCCATCCTCCCAACAGCAGTCCCAGCAGGTGATATCCTGCCTTGTAGTTCTTGTTCCTGTTTTGACTCTCTCCTTGGCTTTGCACGTCCAAGTCTTTCATGTTGGAAGATTGATTGTTGCCTGTTGGCCCCCACGACAGACTGGGGAGACGCTCAAGGAGCAGGTGGTAGAGGGGCAAGATGTCCTGCCCATCGAAGATGAAATGGTTCTGAAGGCAGCGGATCAATCCTGCAGTGCATACGGTGAACTCCTGCTGGCTGACTCTGTCGCTTGTGATGGACGTCAAGAGAGTATCGAACAAATGCTGGACATCAAGGTGGCAGCGCACGCTCGCGCTCTGACTGCTCTGGTTGCTGACATTTCTGTCTCCCAGACTCCCAGACGGGACGTTGTCGGACAGCTTCTCGGTTTCTGTGTCGATCATCAGCCTCGCCGTTTCTTCGCTGCCTCCACCATGTCTGAAGTTTCTGCTCGTTAGCAAGGGAGATCATCAGGCAGGGGAGACGTACGAGCTAGACTGCTTGCTGCTCGTCTGCGCAAGCGAGCAAGGGCAAACCGATGCCTCCTCCCCGGGGATCTCAAGCTTCGGTCGGTAGTTTGAGGTGCTGGGGGCTCAGGTTAGCAGGTGAACGGGCAGCACCGAAAAAACAAGTCAACCTCTGCATGCACGTGAGCAACGAGAGGATCTCGCACTTGACAGGGTCAGCAGCAGCGCTCTTGAGGCGGTTGGGGCTAACAGGCTGATCTGCAAGCCCCAGCAACTTGTCCCAGAGGGCCGTGAACCTCGAGGTGGGAAGGTGCTTGACTGCAGCTGGGAGGAGTCTCATCAGCGCCTGCACTGCTGCCAGCCGGAGATCCTCGTTCCCTTCCACCTTGGCCGCGTCATGCAGGATCTGAAGGATGACCTCGAATCTGGAGGAGGATAGCAGGAGGGGAGGAGAGTGAGATCGACGAGACAGCATCTGCAAACGTTTTCACCTGTCGCATTTCATGTGCTTTGCCAGGTAGATGAGAAGTTCAAGGCCCTGGCCACAAGTTTCTGTCACTTTGTAGCCGGAGCCCGCATCCCTTCTCTTACCTGCTTCCACACCTTGGCGTTCTTTTCCGTGGCGATGTCCCCGAGGAAGGGAACAACGGCTACATCTGTGATCTCCTGCTCGTACCTGTTTATAGGTCACAGCAAGCATTTAAGGATGCTGGCACTGGACGCTTGCTCACATGCTCTTGTAGTCTTCCAGCAACAGCTGGAGGGATTGCAGGGCGCGCACTCTCACTTCAGGGAACGTGCAGGTCTTGTAGAATGAGAACATGACCTCAGACAGAGTTTGCAGCCAGAGAGGATGCGCGGGGTATATCAGATCTATGTGATGTTCGAAACACTCCAGGGCCAGCTGCGAGGGAGTCAGTGGGCAGCTAATGCTGTCGCGTGCAGGATCATCCTGACGTACCTGCTCCGGCACATGCGCCACCACCATCCGAATCAAACCATAGAAATCAGCCTCGAGCCCTTGAAACATGTCGCTGTCGTGCATTGCTTTCATTGTCGCTAACACTCGCTTCAGGTCCTCGAGCTCCACAGAACAAGTCTTCAGATTCATGGCGGCGTCTTGGGCCCTTGGATTCGCCCGACTGCTGGTCAAAGAACTCTCTGAGGAGACGAGCAGGTTCTTCTGCGAGGATGACATCATGGCTGCCCGTGACAAGGCCATGAAACTGTCTTGATCCAGGCTCCTGGAATAATTAGTCCCAAACCTCTGCAGTCCTTGATCAGTGCGGTGCGGGAAGGGAATAAGCAGGACAGTTTTCACCTGAGGTTCATGCTGAGTCTCAGACGCATCTATGGCCTGCACCATCCGTGCTTTTGGGCTCTGGCTGACGAAGGAGGCGGAAGGGCCGATGGAGAAGTTCATGACAGCAGCGATTCTCTGCAGCATGGTGATGATGACGGTCCATTCGAACCGGAGGGTGTTCCCCGAAGTCTTGAGCAGTCGATCCACTGAAAGGAGGATTTCATGCGCGATGATCGGCTCCTGGTTCGCTTCCACGGACGCCAGCAACGCTTCCAAGATGCTCTATCACAAGATCAGCAATTCATCAGGACCCAGGGTAAGGGCACCTGTCGTGAGTACAGCATGCTGAGCGACTCGACCTTCGACGACCCCCAGGCCGCCATGCTGACAAGGTAGATGGCACCTCTTGTCTTGTTTGTGTGCCTCTCAGGATCAAAGTCACTCTCTGCCACCTTGTGCAAGACACTCGTGGCTGGCAAGATTGATTTCGAGCGGGGGGGCTCCTGCAGAATGTCGAGCAGGCGGTTGAAGGCCACACTGCAATATGCTCCCATCAAGACACTCCGCATCACCAGCCACGAGTCCTTGCTCACTTTTGCCTCGTTCACCGCCCTGCAAAGAGTCTCTGTGAGAGTTCGCACCTGCAAGGTGACAGTAAGAGAGGAACAGAGGAGGACGGGAGAGTGCCCTTACCGAATTCTCCTGCGGCATCGTGTAGCGAGCGACGACGTCGAAGAATGCCAGGCAGGATTTGATGAGCTCGTAGCAGACCTCGGATTTCAGGCCTGTAGAGGAGCAGCCAACCACCTCATCCTGCTTCTGCATCCTGTTTGCTTGCCGAGCAACCTGATTCTCCTCTTTGGAAGTGGAATCCTGGCAGTTGGACTCGCAAACTGAGCAAACGGCCTGCAGCAGTCGCGTCGACTGGTCATCCAACAGAGTGACGGGGTTGTACTTAACAAAGGTCGCGGAGTAGATCAGGAGCTTGCAGCCAAACTTGTGGTCCACCTCGTCGCTCTGAACGGTGGCGATGCCCTCCAACCACTCAATCAACAAGTCGCAAGTCTCCCTCTCAAAGGGCGACGCATTCTGCCCGCCTTTCGTGACGTGCGAGAGAAGCTGCAGCTGCAGCTTCCTCCCCAGATTGCTCCCTTGATTCTGTGCGATAGCAAAGAAATGACATCTCAAGACCCCAAGGCGGTTGAAGTTGCACCCAGGATTCTTGGGGTCGCCGGAGCACAGCGCTCCAATGAAGTTGATCACCTTCTCCTTGGAGTGATAGGGACGAGACGACTCTATCAGGTCCTTGAGGTTCAGCCAAATCTCCCTAGGATCCTCGAACTTATACTGTCTCACCAGCTCACTCAGCTCGTCCAGAACTTCCAGCCGTCTCTCCAGGGGTTGAGAGGAGTTCAGTTGCGACAGCGCATGCTGGTAGACCCTCCCGTCCGCCACCTCTAGCGACTCGTGCTGGTGAAGGCTAGGCTGGCTGATCTCGTCGCTCGTCGAGCGGGACAAGGAACTGTGACTCGGTGAGTTCGTCGGACTCTCGTCCTTGGGCCCGCTCCGAACTCCGACGCGTGCCAGCACTTGATGCAGGCGATTCAGTATCGTGTTCTTCCCCCCACCATTTTCCGGAGGTCCTCGGGTGTCGTCAGCTTCCATGTTGAGCAGCGCTGATAGCAGGAAATGCAATCTCAGTCCATGCAGGGAAGTGAGCTGCTGGGAGGTGCTAAGAACTTGCTGTACGCCCGAGAACGTAGAATATCTCCTGCTCCTGCGAAGTTGAAGAGGTCAGCACGAATCAGGCGTAAGAATGGCATCAAAGCGGAGAAGGGGGGGAGGTGTATACAGAGGGAAATAGAAAGATGTGAAGCTGGGTGTAAACTTCGTGCGCAGCAGCGACGATACAGGGGAGCGGATCTGAGCATCAGGATAGGGAGCACAGGAAGAAAAAGAAGAAAAAACACTCGGGATAGCATTCCGTCACAATTTGTCACGAGATCCAGCAACAATCGCACACTAACTAACGAGCTCATTCCTTTCTTATGCAGAGGAATCAGAACAACACTTGCAGTATTCTTACTTCATCGCACCCGCACACATAAGTTCCTCTGCTCACCTCGGCGCAACAAGTCATGGCAGCTCGACATCAATCTTAGCCCAGTTCTCCTCCATGTCTCATGTCTCGTCGGCGTCGCCATCCTCCTCCTCGTCTCTTTCTCGCACCGCCTCCTTCACAGCATGAAGTTGCAACCTGAGACATCCGGACCCACCTAAGGAATGACTGTAATTACTACCCTACCCCTTATTTTCAACCTTGCAGACCCCAAATTGCAAGTCGACTACCCTCACTAAAGATCACCCACCCACCACTTTTTCAATCTTTGTTCATGACACCCTCCTTTGGGCCAATTTTTGGTGTGGTAGGGGTGCTTTCATGGCGGGGTGGGCCCGTTCGCCCCCCTTCGTGCGGTTTTAAAATAATATTTTAAGAATAAAAGATTTTTAGTAATGAGTTGTATATCTCAATATACCCATCCTTTTAAAAAGAAAGTGAAGTAAAATGTCCCCACAGTTGTACCATGTTACACGAGCCAAGATGCATTTTTACATATCACACCTACCATCACTCAAAATAATTGTATATATTACATGTAGTTTTAAACGTTTTGTGTCTACCTCTTTGTGCCAACTTGGATGCGATATATATTTTTAATCTCATATAGTTTTTAAATTTGTATTGTGTAAATCGCTGAATCGGTACCGGCTTCTCTCTTAGTACCAGCGTTTCGCCCGCCACTACAAGGGCCCCGCCATGCCGCCGGTGGTCAGCGGCTGGGAAGTGGTGGAAGAGGAAGGCACGCACAGAAAGTGGAGTGAGACACAGTGAGAACGGAAGAGAGGTACACAGAGCCAAGGGCGGCAGCTTGTCCTGGAAAGCAGCGGTTTGTGAAAGAGCTGGGGACGTGTTTAGGGAGGTAGGACGAGAACAAGGGTAACGGAGATAGATGCTGCAAGACAGGGACGAAGGCTGAGGGTTTGACTTTTGCTGTCCTGCTTCAACCTAACCGATCAAGAATAAGCTTCGGGGACCACAGTCTTTCTCAGTTACCCATCTCATAATACACGATGAGCATGAAAGGCTCTTGCTTGGAATGCGCGTTTTGCAAATCTACCGACCTCAAGGTGAACAGAGCCAACGAAACAATACAGTGCGAGACCTGCGACCATATTCTTGAGGAAAGATACAATGATTACCGTGTCACAAACATCAACTTCGAGCGGGAGAGCCCATACTGTGCAGTGGTCAACGACTCATTAGCCAAGCACAAGTGAGTGCAGCTGTATCGTTGAGTAGTGTTCATGGACTGAATGATATGAGACTATCTGTGCTGATCATGGAGTTTGTTGATATGAATCCTAATTTTGACCCTTGGCTTGATCTGGTTTCACGATGATACAAATTCACTGCTCTACAGGTTTGACTCCAACGTTGAAGGAGATCCCTTTCATGCCGCTGGCTTCATCACTGCCTTCTCCCAGGTCTCCCTGCAGCAACAAGGAGCCTTCACGCTGACGGCTCGAACCTTTCCGGGCGATCTTGCGGAGCTGGAGCGCCTCCTGCACGATCTGGATGTGGACTGCCCAGTCTCAGCGAAGCAGCAGCAGGCAGCAGCAGCACTGACGGGCGTGAAACCCAAGTCAAAGAAGGACAGCGGGGGGTATGCGAAACTGCGGTACATCCTAGTGGCTTACTTCGAGCTGCTGGACGTCGGCGAGATGATGGGGATTAAGAGGGTGGATATCGATGAGGCCCTCAGGTTGTTCAAACAGTTCGTCGACGCCTCTTCGAACCTTCGGAGCAAGAATGTCGAGTCTCTTGCTATCGCCTCCCTTGTTCTCGTCATGAGGAAGGCTGATCGCGCTCGCGACTTGCCAGAGTTTGCGGCTGCCTCTGGGCTTTTACAGAAGGATTTGATTCAGGTGAGCTATAGTTTTGATCCATCCGTGCGGGAACCCACTTGCTCTGTTTCCAGGGTATCAAAGCTGTTCAGCAAGCGCTGGACTCGAGCAGCATGTCTAGCACTGCCTCAGGTTCAGACAGGCGGTTATGTGTTTCTCTTAAATGACACACCATCCAGTGAGCTCCCACATGCCCCAATTTTGCAGAGTTCTTGGGATGCAAGGGCAAGCAGAACAGCTCGCGATTACAATCGGGGAGAATGCAACAACGCACAATGTATGCACACGAAGGAATCCTATCAGCATAGCGGCGGCTGCAATCTACCTAGCTTGCAATCTAGAAGATCAGAAGAAAACCCAAACAGAGATTTGTAAGGTGAGTTCGCCAGGGCTGTTTGTTTGAGTGCTCCTCTGAATCCATGCTCTTCTAGGTTACCGGCTTGACTGAGGTTACGCTAAGAAAGGTGTACAAAGAGCTGCTTCAGGAGCACGACAAGCTGATTCCCAGCACATACATCGCCAAAGTCCGTCTTCAGACTTTACTACCCCTCTCTCTCACAGGACCAAGACCGTACAAGCACGTTCCTTGCGCTCTCGATAAGAAAGGATGCTACGGTACAGCATGTCGAACCTGCGGTGGTCGCATTGAGATTTGTCGCAGTGTCCATGCCCATCCCACCGGCCGGTGCGGTTGCAGGAGCTCCCGAGGGGTGCGAACTGAGCGACCGTGAGCTCAAGAACTGAAAGGTTTGTAGGATGGATCCCAACTCGCCTTTCCTAGCATCCTTCTTCCACCGGGGCATGTGAGTACAGCGTCAGCGTCACTCAGCCCTTCTCAGCAGCGCTGATGCTTGTTTGGCAGGCCACCTTTCTACGGGCAAATCCCGCACGATCAGATGAACCAGCAAATGATGCAGATGGTGCGGCAGCATCGCGCCTTCCCACCCCTTCCTCTGACCTGCTCCCCTGCCAGGGCATGGATGCGAGCCAAGTCGGCAAGCTGCCTCACCAGCCCAACATGTTTGCGCCAGGCCTCAACCCATTCCAGGTTGGCTGACTGCAGGAGGATGCGATGATCTGATGGTCGAGCCCGCAGAACTCCCTCTTTGCCATGCCGCACCCGCCAGGGAAGCCAGGAGAGCAGGCTCCCATCGCCAACAATGTGACCTCATCCCAAGGTCTTCTCCTCGCTAACTCGCTGTCTCAGGGCGTGGCAAATGTTCCTCCTCCCCCCTTTGGAATGCGCTCTTTCCAGCAGATCTTGGAGCAGAACAGACAGGTAGAGGAGGGATTTCATTCACAAGATGTCCTTCATTCACGCGCTGTCTAGCAGAATCAGTCACGAGGAAATACCATGCTAAAGAACGACCATGCCGCGCGCGGAAGCTTCGGTGAGAGCATGTTTGACATGTTGAAGCGTCTCACTTGGTGAAGGTCAAGGATCCAACGAATTTCCTGCGAGCCAAGGAAACAAATGAAAGCTTGGGAGAGAGGAACTCGTTCTTTAAAAAGAGGAAAATCATCAACACACTGCAATATAACGTGTACTTTTGCTATGCCCCTTGTTGCATTCAGAGTGTGCCCTCTTCTATCTTCAGGTCTCAGTCATTCGGAAAGTATATCTGCCTTAGACGATGCCATTTGGGTGAAAGTTATGACAAGTTGTCAGCTTTTCCAGCTTTTCCACTTAGTAATCGCAAGGTCGAGTAGATTCTACGTAATAATTCAATTTGCACTGCAATGAGGAGCTTTCTCTGGGTCCTTCTGCAACTTTTCTCCCCAAGACTGGTTTCGCCCTACACTTCTCCTCCTTGACTCTGCTCAGCCATGGGGCGGATTGCTCGGTGTCCTCGTCATATTACCATGGCAACCATCAAAAACGAGACAAGTCTGTTCCCTTTTGACCTCTTGCTTAAAATCTTTTAAGTTTATTGTACTCAAATAATCACTCATATGTAAACACTTTTGTATACAATTGTACAAAATCGCTAAAAGATCAGCTTCTGTGCATTTTTAAGTTGTAAGCCAGTCGAGAATGCCGCATTGGTGGGCGGAGCGGAGGAGCAGCAAGGGAGGGTCTAGGGGGTGAGGAGGAGAGAGGAGAGGACAGGACAGGAGCAGGCATAGTGAGAAGGAAGTTACCAGGAGGTGCCCTAGAGGGAAGTGTAGCCAAGATGTAATGAGGAGCATCAGAAGCAAAAAGAGGCCGCAGGTGGTGCAGGGAAATACACCTGTGGAGGCTGGTACGACAAGGAGGACGTCAGTGGATGGGATCGAGCTTCCGCTGTGAGCAATCAGTGGAGTGATAGCGTTAGATTGTTAGAAGTCACCCGGAATACCTTGAGTGCTGCGAATCAACATCCTTGCTGTCCTTCAGTCGGCGACAAGACTGATTGGTCGGCTTCGCAGATACAGTAGGTTGTTGGCATGCAGGTGGTTTAGCTCCGAGGGAATGAAGGTATGTTGGCACAACGTTTGTCCTATCACCATGTTTCCATCGTGTTTATCCTCCTGCCACAGTCCCTTTGCTGAGTTGTCAACCATCTCCAGACTGATCCTATTAGCAGTTCTCTGGGACTCACTGAATCTCCTCCTTCCTCCGGATATCGTTGACGTTGTGAGGGCTGCGCATCATGGACAGAAAGAGGTGACGGAGGGAGACGGAGTGCGTGTTGTGCTCTATATTGAAACTTCTTCAGCTCCTTGAATGAGGGCTCGTTTGGAGATCAAGATTTGGATGCGGAGATATGGAACGGAGATGGTCAACTCATCAAGCCATGGTGCTGTCACGCGCGAAATCTGATATGAATGCACACTGAAAGAAGAGAAGATCATGCCTTGCTGCGCTTCTCTTTTGCCTCTATCGTTCCTGCTACGTTTGCGTCTTATGGGCTCAGCCTGATGTCGCGTGTTGTCCTCCTTGCTCTGTCGGCTGCGAGCACGTCTGCGTCCTCCATGATCCTGTTGAGCAGGCACCCGATGCACGTTCCTGCTCCGACGCCGCCCGACGAGGCAGGGAGGCTGAAAGGTGAGAGCAAGAGGAGGCGACGGGAGAGTGAGCTCAGGTTGACTCGGATCTTCTCTGCCTCCTCCTCGCAGTCCTTGAAGAGCTGGGGATCATGGACACGCCAGCAGATTCAGAGTTTGACTCGTTTGCCTTACTTGCGCAAGTGAGTGAGGAGGAGCTCGATGTCGGGCTGTGCACCTGACGTCGAGCAGAGGGCATTTAGGACGCTCAGTGCCGCCATCAACTTCATCGACGCAGAGAGACAGTGGTCCAAGGCCACCATCGGCTACGACGTGCATGTCATTGGTAAGTGCAGGGGGAGTTCGTGAGCTCCCAGCTAGTTGACAAGGATCCGCAGACAGAGACATCTCCATCTGTGCGCACACGATCTTAAAGGAGCATGAGAGGGAGAGCACCAAGGGTGTGCTGGTGGTTCTAGGTTCGTTCCCCAGCTATCTTGTCGTTCTCGCGTGACGAGCACCATTGTAGATACATCGAAAGATGAAAGATTCAAGTTCAACGACTTGTGCACTGGTGAGAATCAGCGTTTACATCCTCATATGAGATGACGTTTTCTGCTTCAGCTGGTGTCAACCAGATCAAGTTCTACGCGGGGTGTCCTATCAACATTTTTCGAAATGGAGTCGCTTGGTTGTTCTTTTGACACTCACTTATGCACTTGCCGCATTTTTGTTCTTTGTCCTTCTTCAATTCCTCCTTCTCCCCGACTCACATTCTTCTACCCAAACTTCTATTCCTGAATCCATATGCTCCTCCTCCTCCTCCTCCTCCTCCTCCTCCTCCTCCTCCTCATCCTCTCTCTATCTCTCTTCCTTGCTACTCCCACTTCTGATCCTCCTCGACTCTCCTCCTTTTCCTCTCCTCCTCCCATCAAGCTTGTTTCTCTCATTCATCCTCTCCTATCATTCCCTTCCCCGACTCTTTTCCTCACTCTCGTCGCCAGGCCCGTAGGTACAATTTGTGTCTTCGACTCAGAGCCGAGGACCTCTTTCGATCTCGACCAGTGCGCCATGCTGCAGGCACTCACGAGCTGCCTTCCCCTTCCTCCCTTCCTACCTCAACACTCCCTCTCCTCCTACGTCTCCTCTCCTCCTCTCCTCGTTCTGCCTTCTCCCGTCTCTGCTCTTCTACCTCGTCTTCTCCTGATTCGGCCGCCTCTTCCCCTCTCACTTGCCTCTTCAACTTTCTCGTCTGCTGTCCCTCTCTGCCTCCTGACCAACATGTCGCAGACACTCTCCAAGGCGATCACCAATCACATGTCCATCCCAAGTGGCCAAGGAGGGCAGGACCTGAAGAGCGCGTTAGAGGACGTGGAGGACCGAGTCGTAGTAAGAGCCCCCTCTCCCCAGCTTACTCCAAGCTGAGTCTCGATGCAGGCTCTGAAGAAGTGCATGGCATTCACTATCCGCAAGGTGAAGACAATAGAGGAGAGCAGAGCAGAGGAGAGGAGAGGAGAGACAAGGGGGGGGAGGGTAGGATAGGTGGGAGAAAGAAACAGCAGGAGTGACAAGAAGGGCCCACGAACCATGCGAGGGTAGGACAGAATGACAGTGAACTGAGAAGGAGAGAGTGTAGAATGTGAGGATAGAGTCTGGTAGACGATAGGATCGAGGGGTCTCCTTCGACCTCTTCCTCTCTGGGCCTCTGACAGCTCTGCCTCCTTCCAGGTCGACGATGCTGCGATCCGGATGATGGCGGAAAAGCTCAAGCCCGTCACCATCCAAGAAGGACAATACCTGACCCGCAAAGGTTGGTTCCCTCCTATTTCATCTCTTAATTTGCACCCCCTTCTTCTTTCGGCATCGTCTTCGTTTGCGTCCAAGTCCCCCCCCACCCCTCTTCAGTCCCCACCCTCCCTCCCTCCCTCCCTCCCTCCCTCCCTCCCTCCCTCCCTTCCCCATTCCTCCTCCTTCTTCCTTCTCTTTGTGGCCCCTCCCGGCTGCTACTCCTCCCTCATCTCGATCCCTCGCGTACTCCTTGGCTCTCTGCCCCGAGACCGCGCAAGGTGATGTCTCGTCGCGTCCACAGGCTCTCCCGGTGACCCCATGTACTTCATCGTCTCCGGCTCTTTGGTTTGCACCCTCAACGACAAGGAACTTGAGCGGCTCACCAAGGGGCAGGTAGGAAGAGCATGGCAGGAGTAGGAGCAGGAGCAGGAGCAAGTTGCAGCAGGGGGAGGGGAATGGCAGAAGTAGGGGCACAGTAGGACAAGGACGAGGACCAGGAGTGGGTGCATGGAGCAGAAGGAGGAGCAGGACAGAAGGAGGAGCAGGGTGGAGAAGTTAACTCTTTGTTTAGTGCGTAGGAGAGCTGAGCTTCATCAACATCGCCAAGATGCTCTCGTCAGGGATCCCCCGCAAGGAAGCGCTTCACCGATGCCGCCGGGCAGCAGATGTCGTCGCTACTGACAAGAGGTGAAGGACAGAGCATGCAGATGCCCCGTTGTCTTGCTGGGTTGCTAGGTTGCTATGGATGCTGCGATGTTGCCTTCGCTCCTGCTGCGTTTCTTCCTCACCGGATTGTCTCTCTTCACCTGCCTGCGCTGCTGTCAGTCGATAGCGACTCACGCTCCTGCAGCGAGCTGCTGGCTCTCTCCTTTGAGGACGCCTGGCCTCTCCTCCGCAAGATCCCCAACCTCTGGTACACGTTGCAGGTGAAAGCGAATCCTATCCTCTCCTTCTCTCCTCCTTCCCAACAGCTTTGTTGCCGCCTCTGTCTTCCCTCCTCCCCTTCTTCTCCCCTGCTCGAAATCTTTCCTCCTTCACGTTCCCCCTCCTCTCCTCCCCCATCGCTCCCATCGCATCTCTGACCCTCCTCTCTCCTAGGACATCGCGCATCAGCGACTCATCCGAGTCTCTCGCGTCTCTCCCAAGTCTTCTTTCTCTACTTCCACCAGCGCCTGCCGCGCCCTCCAGCTCTAAGTTGCGACAGAGTTGATGTTCGAGGAGGAAGGGGGAGGGGGAGGAGGAGGAGGAGGAGGAGGAGGAGGAGGAGGAGGAGGAGGAGGAGGAGGAGGGAGGGAGGAGGGTGGAGGGGGAGGGAGGGAGGGGATAAGGGGGGGGGATAAACTCGACTCGTGATGAATACAGTCCATTCGATAGCTTGTGATGCTGTCTATTGTCTTCCATCGATTCTCAACTGCAGACAAGCTTCTAATGTTTCACAACTCCGTCTTGACGCCCTGCTGCAAGACAGTCAGCAGCTATCAAGTCGAAGGCCCGCGGGCTTCTCATGCCTTGTCGTCTATCGACACTTTGATGATGGTGTCGTACTCGTCTCTTACTCCCTCCTGGACCTGAGGTGACGTCACCATCGTTGACATGCCCTCTACAGTTCTCACCTCGACCTCAGTTATCCCCGTGGAGTCCCTGGGGTGTCAAGAAACAAAGACGTCAAATGAGCGTGCGTTGACAGGTGCGTTCAATGGACGCACTTGGAGAACTGAACATCAGACGTCTCTTGATGACAGAGAGGAGGCTGGCAAGACATGACCTCTGCACCCTAAAGTCGTAAACGAACCTAGTCAGAGAGAGAGAGAGAGAGACAGAGAGAGACAGAGAGAGACAGAGAGAGACAGAGAGAGAGCGAGACAGAGCGAGAGCGAGAGAGAGAGAGAGAAAGAGAGAGAGAGAGAGAGAGAGAGAGAGAGAGAGAGAGAAAGAGAGAGAGAGAGAGAGAGAGAGAGAGAGAGAGACAGAGACAGAGAGAGAGACAGAGAGAGAGATGGAGAGAGAGAGAGAGATGGAGAGAGAGATGGAGAGAGAGAGAGAGAGAGATGGAGAGAGAGAGATGGAGAGAGAGAGAGAGAGAGAGATGGAGAGAGAGAGAGAGAGAGAGAGAGAGAGAGAGAGATGGAGAGAGAGAGAGAGAGAGAGATGTGGAGAGAGAGAGAGAGAGAGAGAGAGAGAGAGAGAGAGAGAGAGAGAGAGAGAGAGTTAAGGGAGAGAGTTAAGGGAGAGAGAAGAGGAGGAGGAGAGGATAGGGGGAGGGGGGGCGAGGAATGAGGAAGATTCGAACGAAGGAAAACAACACGGATCTGTGGATAGAATCCCCTTGCAGAGACTGAACAAGAGCAAAGCAACGCCAGAACTTCTGACTCAACAAGACAAACGTGATCACCAGGATGCTCTCAAACGCCAGGCGAGGAAGAGGGATTCGCATCTGCGGTAAATTCTCGCCGTCGGCTCCTCGCGCCCACTCAAGGATGTGGATGTAAACGATCCCCTGCCTCCTCGTCGTCACCCCCCATGGCGCTGGAGGCGAAGGGCCTCCTCTCGTTCCTAACACGCTCTCTCTGTACTGCCCCAGCCAAGCCCCCAGCAGCTGGAGACTCTGCTGGAACTCCGGCTGGATGTCCCCGGTGGGCATGGGCCCCACGTTGAGGAGGAGGTTGGCGTCGAAGCCAGCAGACCGAACGAGCATGCGAACGACGTGCTCCATGGGCTTGGGCGTGTGGTCGCCGGTGTATCCCCATGCTCCGTTGGCATGCAGAGTATCGCATGTCTCGAGAGGCAGGGACGAGTCCACCTGCAGCGAGCTGTGAGCGTACCCCTGCGTGTTCTCACCAGGCGCGTCCTTCTCAAAGATCTGCATGTCCTCCCCCCAGTAAGGAGACCGATGGTGGTTGTTGCCGATCAGCGCATTCGGCTGCAGCCGGTGGATCAACTTGTACGTCTCCTCCGTTCTCCACGTCTCGTGCGACGGCTTGTCCCACCACCCGTCCAGCCAGATCCCAGCTATCTCCCCGTACTCGGAGAGGATCTCCTCAAGCTGCCGGTGCATGTAGGCAAGGTACTCGCTCCAGTTGCCGCCGGCCGGCCGGCCCGTCTCAGTGCCGGTGAAGCCACGAGGGAAGTAGTCGGGGTGGCTCCAGTCGAGAGGAGAGTAGTAGACGAACAGCTTCAGGCCATGCTCCCTGCAGGCCTCCGCGAGCTGCCGCAGGATGTCCTGCCCGTAGCTGGTGGCGTCCACTATGTTCCACCTCGTCTGCTTGGTGTGCCACATGCAGAAGCCATCATGGTGCTTGGAGGTGAAGGTTATGTACGACATGCCTGCTGACTTGGCTAGGAGAACCCACTCTGTGGCGTTGAAGTTGGAGGGGTGGAAGTGACCTCGAAGCTGCTCGTAGTCGCTCATCTTCATCCTCTCGTTGTTCAGCACCCACTCTCCTCTTCCCAACACGCTGTACACTCCCCAGTGGATGAACATGCCGAGTCCTGCCGACCGGAACCATGCTCGCTGCTTCAGGTTCCCTGCGCTGGGCATCGAGAGTCACCCTGCGCTAGGTCTTGCTCCTCCTGCCTCACCTTGGAACGTACTCTGGAAGCTCGTCCACCATCCCGTCGTCCATGTCGCCAGCGAAGGCATCGGGAATGACAGGGAGGATGTTGTCAGCAAGCGCTGGCCGATGATTGAGGAAGAGGAGGAGGAGGGGGAGGAGGAGGAGGAGGACAGGGATGCTCCCACCCCTCATGCCGACCATCTTCATCGAGGCGATCTGCTACTGATGCATCCGAAGACAACAAGATCAACCCCAACCAACCTGCCCGCAATGTCACTCCTATCCGCCACCCTCCCCCCTCGCTCATTGCACCGTCACGTCTTGCTTCTACCTTGCTGTGCTAGCCTGCCCCTCTTTCTCCTCCTCCTCTCTTCGTTTCTTCGATTCACCTCCCCTCCCTCCCTCCCTCCCT